ACAGCTTGTGCAACGATCGTGTGTATCTGCTCAGAATTTAAGCTTCTAGAATGTCATTGAACACCAATACGCGGTTTGGTGTCCATCTGGCAAAAATAGTTCTTGGCATACACCCTTAAAGTCGTAGCCGATTGATTTCTCAGTTGGTTCATCCATTCCTGAACACGTCTGTCCACTTCGTTGGCGGTCTTCCTCGGGGACGTTTTGCTTTGCGAGGACTTCACTCAGATGTTCTTGGTTGTCCATCTGTCGTCTGAGCTTCTCATGATGAGACCGGACCATCGATGCGTCTTTTTTGCAACAAATTTTGCTGACACGAAGACGGGAAATTTTTCTCATACCCGTACTGCGAAGTTTGACAAGATCAGTTTGTGCCGGGTCATTTTCAGAAGACTGCGCTCAAGCGCTTTGTCGGTGGTTCGCAAAGCTCGACGTACTGCAGTATCGGCACATATCTCGACTGCGTAGGGGAACGTCGGTAACGGTTATGTCGAAACATTTGGATGCAAAGCTTGGGTCCTTAGTTAGTCGGTGGCTTCCTTCAGAGGCCCAAATGCGATCCACGCTGCTCCTCTCCTCTTGTTAAGTTATTCCTTTAAATCGTTCATTCATCATGCGTCACAAGCTACAAGCTATACGTATGAAGACGTCCTTACAGTAGGGTGCCTTCCAATCCCACTTCCGCGTCTTTACAAAGGGTGTTCTTCAATGAACTGAATTTTCTGATTTATTCGCAATTCGATCTTCTTCCCTATTTCGTCGAGTTCCAGCATCGTCTCCGCTTCAGCAATCTCCAGACTTTATCACCTCCTTAAGGTGGACGAGAAAAGCGATGCTCCGACAGATTTCTATTATCCTCCAGTCTGGATGCGGTCCGTGCAGCTGAATCTTTTGCGAAACCAGTCTGTTTTCAAGGCTGGGCCTCATACAGCGTTCCCGATATGCGGGTAGGGATCTCGTGAAAAAAGCTTGTGCAACCCACTCAGCAGGCGTACGTAATTGATGATTTTTTGTTCGCCCTTCCTAAGAAGAACGGTTTTTTGAAGTTCTGCACTGGTCGAGAATCCTTTCCTTCCTCCAGAAGGGAGAAATTCCCGATCAGCGGAGAACTGGTTCCTGAACCGTATAAACTCTTCGTCTTGGCTTGAAGGCAGGGTCCAGGCAAATCTGGTCGCATGGCTCTTTCGCCTGAAAAGATGAGGAGGTCCTAACTAAGGCACTGCCCAAGGGGCAGCGGAAATTGTTCGATCACGGCTGAGAAATCTGTCCCCGAAAACCCCGCGCTGCGCCGTGACCGTAACCCAAAAACGACTTCGCTCACTTTAACACTACGTTTGCGCTGGGACCAATCCTAAGTGTTACGGTCACGACGCAGCAGCGGAGTGTTTTTGGATGTATTTCTCAGCCGTGAATAAATTATTTGCGTTGCGGTTTGGATAGTGCTTTAACTAGAGCCTCCTCGACAGTTTTCAGGCAAAAAACCCATATGCCCAGATTTGCCTGAACGCTGCCTTTAATTACAGTCCCACTTTGAATCATAGGTGCAATAAGGTGAGAACGGCTCCTCTAAGGTGAAGGGGGTCACAGTGGTCGCAGCCCTCCAGGGTGAAAGGTGTTTCACTTCTTCCAAAAATTGCAAAATGTCGACTCAGGGGGGGGGGGAAGGACGGGAGGAATGGTGTTCTCTCATCATTCTCCCTGATCAACGTTTTATCATTTTCAATTCTCTACCATCATTTGCTGTTTTTTTTTTGTGAAGAATGAAGTAGGATTGAAAACATTCTGTCTGTTTTCGATAATACCTTAAAGTAAAAAATGTGTATGCAAGAACATCTGTTTCGGGAAAGATTTAGACAATTTTTGAGCATTTACAAATTACATTTACATTTACAAATTTTCGAAAAAAATAAATTTATAACTTTTTGTAGATGAACAGCAACGTCTGCAAGAAAATTGTTTTGAAAACCGTCTTCTCTTACGCTTTCAGGAATTATATAGATTGCCTAGGATTTGTCTGGAGTCATTTTAAAAAGTGCCTGGCGAAGCTCTTGGGTAGTGATTTCTCGATATTTACGAGATCTAAGGATAAAAAAATCATAACTTCTGTAGATAAACAACTTGTACATGGAAATAGTCACCGTTAAAACCGCCTTGTTCTCCGCTTTTTGATGATGAATAGCATGTCTGAGATTCATTTAAAAAGTGCCTGGATAAAGGGTGTCCTAGTGATTTCTGGAGATTTTCGAGTTTTTGACATAAAAAATTCATAACTTTCGTAGATGAACATCTTGTACGCCTAGATGGTCACCATTGAACGTCCTCCGTTTTCAGGAAATATATATTTTGCCTAGGGATTGTTACAAAAAGTGCCGGGTGAAGGGTGGGTGAGACTCTTATAAAGGGAGTGCTCAAGTAAACGTTTTTACAATGGTAGAAAAGCCTCTACTTGAGCACTTCCATTATAAAAGTCTCACCCACCCTTCACCCGCACTTTTTGAAACAATCCCCAAGCAAAGTATATATTTTCTGAAGGCGGAAGACAAGACGGTTCCAGTGGTGTCCATACCGTCGTACAATATGTTCACCTACAAAAGTTATGATTTTTTAATGTTAAAAACTCGAAAATCTCTAGGAATCGCTGCCCACACCCTTCACCAAGCACTTTTTTTAACAGATGCACTTTGTTCAACAAACTTTTCCTTTCCTGTACATAAACAATTCACGTACAAATATCTCCTTCGCTTAACCTACCTCACTTTTGATATTTTTTCTCGGCTTTTGGTGAAGGGGGTCACCTTAATCCCGATTCGAGGGTGAAAGGCGGGGGGGGGGATGAGCAAATTCTCACACTATCGCACCTATGCTTTGAATGGTAAATCCCGCTCCAAGCGCAATCATATGCGCCAAAGGCAACATGCCGCCAAAGCAGACGATATACAGTAAGTTCTGGCCCGCTTTAGGCGGAAATTGGATTGGCGGGAGTCCGCCTCGCAACAGCTCGCGCCGTTCCGCAGCTACAGTATATCCTATCGTGCTAAGAACCCATGTCTGCGTCTCTTTAAACTCCCTAGTCTTTGCTTGGCAAAATGCCAGCGCTATGCGCCCGCGAAGCCTCCAGCGATGCGTATGCGCTGCTCGACATAGAATGTCTCGCCTAATCCGGGATGAAACCGACTGTACAGTAAGTTCCGGCCCGCTTTAGGCTGAAATTGAATTGGCGGGAATCCGCCCCGCAACAGTTCGCGCTGTTTCGCAGCTACAGTATATCATATCGTCCTGAGAACCCAAGCCTGCGTCTCTCCATTCCCCTTAGTCTTTGCTTGGCAAAATGCCAGCGCTATGCGCTCGCGAAGCCTCCAGCGATGCGTGTGCGCTGCTCCACCTAGAATGTTCGCCTAATCCGGGATGAAATCGACTGTAAACGTATTGAAGGAAACTGATAAAAACTGGTCTTCAATCATTTTTTGTTACTGCTTATACTTCAGACGAAGAAGCTACTAAACGCGTGTGAACATTTACAATGATTTGTGATGGTCCGAATATCAAGTCAATGCTTTGGTCCTCTCAAATTGCTATAGTCCGATTTACCGTTGCCTGAGGGTGGAGAGCATGAGTGGCCTCAGGGCAGGGATGAACCTTGATGAATAACGGGATAAAAAGTGCCTATACCACTCCACCAGATGTCCTCCATACGAAGTGTGACGGAATCCTGTAAATTACTCTCTAAGGTGTGATTTTTTCTCACTTAGTTCTATCTTTTTGGTAGGGAAAATCGAGGTGCTCCCTTTTCCAAAATGTGCACATTTTCTAGAATGGCTCTGAGTAAGCCTCAGCGACAGAAAGCGGAATGAAAAAGTTACTTATGCACTGCTCTCAAAAAAGGATCGTGAGTTCTTACATTCAGATATTATGATTTTAATGTAATAAGCTTTCGCTGTAGACGAGACATGCGCTCTTGTCGTTATGACGACTTTGGAGATCAAACGCAAAGTCGCAAACTGACTTCATTCCAAGAATTATGCTATCTGTACCATTGATCTGTTTTCAGAGCAGGCTAATGCCGACTGAGAATGATGCGCGCAGGGATCTCTATGGCCGGCGACAACAACCACCTAGTCGTTTTTTATCACCTGCGCAGCTGCAAATGATCTGGGACTGTGGACGAACATGAGGAATTTCTATGTTAGATAAATATCTGATTTTTAGCGGGTAACAATTCCAGGGAATTATGTTATATAGATGATATGTCAGATGTCATATACGAAAATCCGTTAGGCCCCGGACAGACTTCACGCGATTTGATCGTCGCGACTCAATCGCCGACATTTCCATTCATTTTCATTTCACATTCAAAAATTTCGGCTGGAAAAGTATCACAACCGAATGCAAGTTGATCGGCATGGAATGATGTTGTAACAGTTGTCTTGTCGCGATTCAGTTGCGACGATCAAAGCGTGAAATCTGTCCGGGCCTTTAGGAATGAGGAAAAGTAAATCCTCTTGAGAGGCTGCAAATGGGCTAAGGTTTGACTGGGTACATCATTTTACCCTGCTATATAGCATCCCGGTCCACCATGGGGCAATGGCGTCAATATATCGCGTTATTCGGCGGCCAACTATCAGGCTCTTATCAGCATGCTAATCCTGCCAACTACTAATTGGAGCGGCCACTTTATACAGAACAGGCCGGTGCTCACTTAACGGCCCCCGTAGCGGTTTAACGGGTAGTGCACGGCATGGGAGATTGTTGATCGGAAAGCTTCCACTCTTTCCAATACAACGTCTGGTTGCGCTATCTAAGGAGTACTGTCATAAATCTTGGCATTTTAGTTTGATGGGTTTTTTGAAAGAGAAAGAGAGTATCTGTCTTTTTCAGGGGACGAGTTGATTACGACTTCGACTTCTAGGCTCTACGAAGGCGAAAGTGCCAAAACGTAAGCCGTCTCAATAAAAATTGTTAACAATCTTGAAATCAGCTCACAACCATTCTCTACAACAACACAGAGACACTACACTTTATTCACTCAATACCGGAATGTTGTATTCTCAAACGAGGTCTATCCGCATCGACTCATAAACTCATAATCTTTGACATTTAGTCTGACACTGGATGTTTCCCAGGGTAAAAGCATACCGACAATGAAATACATACACATTAAAACATGATCCGAGCAACATCATTATCACTGTGTGCTTGATCAGTACTTGACAAACAGTTCATAACTCGAAAGGTGCTGGTAGACTAGTACGGCCTTCCTCGACCTCGTCCCCTCCCTCGCCCTCCACGCATGGGGCCGCCGCCGCCTTCCCTACCGCGATCTCGATCTCGATCTCGATCATAATTCTTCTCATAGTACCCATTTCCTAAAGTTTCAAAGTTTAATTGAGTTTAAAGAAATCCTTGTCAACCTTGATGTCTTGGTCCCTGAGGCTGCCTCCAGTTTTCGTAAGGTTGCTCCTGCGAGTCCTCATACGGTGCACTGGATGAAGGTGGCATCGGCGCTTGTAGTCCATTCCATTGTCTACCTCCCATCGAGGGTCCACGTTGATCAAGTGGTGGATGTGGATGCGATGACATGCTTGGTGGTGGCATACCATGTGGAACGGGCATGGAAGCACTTTGCTGTGGAGGCATAGGAAGGCCCTCCTGAAAGTGCTGAGAGGGAATTAGAGATGTATTATATTGGTGGTTGATAGACATGTCGACTACCTGAGGTAGAGGTGGTCTCCGCCTCGGGTCACGGATCTCATCATCCTGGTTTCGTATTCTTTGGTCTTGATCAACAGGAGCATGATTCACTATAATGAGAATTCTAGAGCTACAGGAAATGAAGGATCATAGCTTACTTTCTGCAGGAGGTCTTCTCATATCTGACGGTGGCCCCATTCTACTCTCCGCTGGTCGAATGCCTGGTGGCGGTCCCCGCATTGGAGGTGGTCCCCGTGACTGTGTTGCTCTAAGATCCACGTCTCCCGATGATTGTGAACTAGGAGCCAGTCGATAATCATGGTCCTAAAAAATGCTTGACAATATGAATATCAACATTCTAAGTCGTAGCTACCATTCAGACAAACTACAAGAAGGGCGATCAGATAGTCAACTTACTGCTTCCATATCGCGCTCTTCTGTATTTGACGCAGCAGCCAAATGCTGCTGCTGTTGTTTTTGAGCTATCGAGGGAGGCATGGGTATACCAGGAGGCCAAACTCCAGCAGCAGCCAATTGTTGAGGCGTCATACCGGGAGGTATATCTAGAAATCGGGTTCGTCAAGGTCACAATGCGGGCTTGAATCTGGATCCATTATGTAAGTAAGCTACTAACGATAATCGAACGGGTGTCAAGAAGACCTTGTGGTTATGGAGAAGATGTGACTTACTTGGAGGCAACTGAGGGAATGGTGGCCGTTGCGGAGGCATTGGTAGCGGTGCTCTGGATGAAGGTCCTCCTGACTGAGTTGGACCCGTCTGAGAAGGTTGTGAAGGGGGCCCTGAGTTCGGTGGAGCAGGAGCGTTTGCAATCAGCGGAGGTCTGTGGGAAGGCATCGGTCGTCCTGAATGCAAAACAACATTTTTCGACTCGGAATGTTGCTAGCCTGCGCTGCCTAATCTACCTTGATCGTTGGGAGGTTGCTGGGTAGGGTTAGCCTTCGGCGGACCGGACTTATCATCATTTGGACTAGTGGGGCCACTAGAAGTTGAACCTGGCTTCCAACCTGGTGGCATGCCTGGAGGGAGAAGACCGAGCTTCTGCGCTCCTGCAAATCCACCCGCAAAGCCAGCTGCCATAGCTGCTGCCGACTGCGCTTTGACTGAAAAGAACCACTTTCATTACTGGTACACTTCAGATAACACTAATAAGTGACCGACCAGTTTGTGCAAGCATAGTCATCGGAGGCGGAGCTTGCCCTAGTAGGCCTTGTCGTGGCCTCTGTTGCTGTTGTGGCTGTTGGAAGAATTCTTCCTCAGCGTCTTCATCGTAATCATCAACTGAAAAAATAGGTCATGACAAATCTATCATGGGCCCTAGCAAAAAACTATAACTCACATCCTGAACCTCCAGGCTTGGACACATTCCACATACGCTCAAATTGACGCTGTGCTTTCTTGGGCGGTGGTTGCTTGATCAGCGTCTTCTTCGCTCCAATATTTGCATTATGCTGAAAAAAGTTGAAATTCTAGAGTTAGTAAAAATGTCCAAAAACTTTTTTTTGAAAAGTTACCTGATGTCGCGCGTTCAGGTCTTCTGGCATAAGCAGCATAGTGTGATGGGCTGTGGCAGGGTTTGAAGTAATATCCCGATTCATCTTCTCAACAACTTCGTCATCAAGTCCCATTCCTCAATAAGCAACTTCTGAATGCCTGTGCACAAGAGATAGGAAATATCAAACTCACCAGGAATTACTGGTGCCATATACTCGTCTTCAAGTCTGATTGCAGCGCTTTTCGGTTCACGCTCTTTATCTAGTGCGCCAACCTGAACAGAGTTTGATTGTTACTCCTTCATCCGACTAGCCGAAAAACTCTGCGTTTGATAGATTAAAAGGGAAGATTTTCAAATCTCGAATCATCTGCCAAAATCACGAAAACGCCCGAAGAAGTTCCCTCTTACCATGTTCGTAGTGAAAGATGCCAAGCCGAAAATGTCCTCCTGTGTATCTCCAGGTCTATTGCGAGCCCAAAATTTGGTATTATTGTCATTGGATCCTAAAAGTTTCTTCAACTGAAGGAACGAAAAAAGTTTGAAAGATAGTGAGAAAACGGATGAACCTGTAGCTAAAATGTGCCCCATAGGATGGAACTTCATGGCCCAGACTGCCTGGTCATGCGCATGTTCCAGAAAGGCTACTTCCTGTAGAAAACATAGACCTCAGAAAGTTCAGTTAAATCCAGGGAAAAGCAGAATGAGACATACCTTCTCATTCTCCACCAACCAATATGCAATAGATCCATCGCCTCCTCCAGATACAAAGAGGCCTTCATGTATAGGATGCCAAGCAACGGCTGAAAAACACTCAGTAACTACAAATTCGAAGACGACTTGAGAATTACCTGTGACTTCCTTTTTATGACCTTTGTATGAGTACATTTCCTTCATACATCGAATATCGTAGAGTTTCACAAGATGATCTCGACCAGCTGTTAGCAACCAGTTACCGTTACGATTCCAATCTACTGCCATGACAGAACTCTTGTGGTCTTGCCTAAACAAGGGATTTCGGTGAGGAAGAAATTCTTTGAGATTTCTGTGCCAATTTCAGCTATTCAGATACAACATACAAAGTCGTCAGACAATCTCCTGTCCTAGGATCCCATAACTTGACTGGTTGTTGTGAGTCTCTTGATCCAGTAGCGACCATTCCCTTAGATGGATGCCATGCTACACATCTTACCTAAAATTCATTTTAATATGACTGAAGAGTTTTCTGGACGAAGCAAAAGCTTCTTGCATTATTTTGCTACTAACTGATTCCGAAAACGTTGATAATCAGGTGAATTTATGCTCACAAATTTATCAAAATTGGGAAAAATTTCTAAGACATAATAAGTACAAGGAAACTCTACAGATAAAAAGGGAAAATTCAAATAATGAAAAAGTTTGAAAACCTTAAAAAAACCAAACGTAAGAATCTCGACTCTCACAAAACTTCAAAAGTCTCTTCAGAAAAATATTCTACCTCAGATCCATGACCTCTCATAGCCCTTTCCTCAACGCATCGAGCAAAATCCCAGATACGTACAGTACCGTCGTCAGATGCTGATGCCAGTTTGACATCAGTGGGAGAAAATCTGTACGTATAAGTTTTAGCATGGCGTATAAAATTGCATTACCGTGCACATTAGCAACAAATACAAACATACGATAGCCCCCGAACGGGTTCGTCTTTATGGGCTTGATACATGTGCACATTGTTCATGTTTGGTTGCCAGTACTTGATGAATCCCTCATGGTCGGCTGACACTAACCACTGCTCATTGTGAGACCATGTCATCGCGCGTATCGCGGAATCATGGGCCTAAATAAGTGAGACATGGCCGAAGAAGATGGTTTTGATTACCAGAAGGTCACGATGGCTGTTTTGCTCTATACTGGGCCTCTGCCGGCAATTTATAGTCTCCGGGTGTGGCATTTCTTCGTCAAAACTACTAGAGACTTGCGATAAAATCCAAAATTCATATACTTCATCATACACATCTTTATCTGTCAGACAGCATGAAATGCGCGATACCGCTACTTCCCATTATAGACAGACATTATCATTTGTGCCTGTTCTTCTCCAGGGGCATAATTAAAATTCGTTTTTGAATTTTCGCATGATTCGGGCATCAAGTGAAGCTTAGATCTTAATTGTTCAAATTCACCGACTTCTTTCGTTTTAGATAATCGCTGGTAACCACCACACGTTGTCAGAAATACAAAAGAACTGAAGGAGTAAATTACAGTGGATCTCTACTGAAGATGAAAAGCTTGGAAAAAAGCTTTCCGCAATTGCTATCAGATATGGAAGACAATTTGGAACTCTAACGAAGACTGCTTACCATACAAGCTTGCAATTGATTGGTTCAAAAATAAAAATCAACTATTCGTCACAAGGAAACTTTACTCGAGTTCGAAACCAAAACTTCAGTAATAAAAAAGAAGACTGTATTCAACAGAAACACACCTGCTGTTATCCATTGCCCTTTTAATATAGATACTTCATGGCTAGGATTTGAACGAGGCTCGAAAGTAAAAGCAGTCAATGAAGTCAAAAGGCTCGAAAGTAAAAAGCATCATATTGCTACGTATTCTAGAATCAACTCCTAGCTGTACCAGAACTTTTTTCGGCAGGGGAAGCGTAGAATACGACGAATGAATTTTTTTTATAGAAAATCTTCGTAGGGCTTACCGATAGAGATAATTCCGACATTTATGATGTCTCGAAATTTCACAAGCTTGCTACAGGGTCGTGCTAGTTTTTGATAAACTTCAGAATATATAGCTCCGCTACTCTTAGCTACTGATATGCGGTATTGAGGAAATACTATCCAGCAACATTGAGGCTTATGTCTTTTCAAACTATATAATTCCATTCTTCATGATTTAAAAAATGTTGTGCCCGAAAAGCAGTTTCATTCCCCCTGAACTACCTTCTTTTGCGTATGTGGTAACACACGAGACGAAAGAATCCCTTTATTCACCCACTTTACCTTTACAATTAAACGATCGAAATGGGTAGAATAGTATTAGCGGCTTGTGAAACTTTATTCACCGCTCTTCCAACACTCAATGTCCTTTATGGACAAACATCAATCAGTTATAAGTGGAATTCAGAGCAAAACTGCCACCGTTTCTCAGAAAAATGCACAAGTTCATACTAGGCATAGAGTAATAGAAACACATACGGACAAAACACTACCGCTTCCAGTACCTGCAGAATAGTTTCGAAGTTGAACGCTGTCCCATTCCACAATGTGAACTCGCCTGTTGATGCACCCGTGATTAGCCGTTTACCCTCAGGCGTCCACTGCATTACAACATATTCAGCGAAAATAAGCGTTTGGCGGTAGAAAGTCATCCATGAGAACAACTCATGGATATAAGACACTCATACTTACACATAGACTGTAGACCGGACATTTGACTTTGTTCATAGCTGCTCTAACAAATTTTGTAAGAATGCAGTCAACAGGAGTCTCCGGTGTACAACGAGCGGGTAGAGCAGTGTTCTGATAAAGTTCGTCCGGTTGTTGCACTGGCCGCTGCCATCGCTTGTACTGCCAAAGACGTGACTAAAAACGCAGATACAGCCTGCACCATCCCAATGCGCATGAATACATAAACATTATTTAAAAACGTACCTCCGCATGGTTCAGTACCGTTGCAACATAGTCAACATGCCTTCGAACATTCGCGACATTCTTTCTCAAACGCCGACCGGGACCATCTCCCATCATCATCACATCGATAGGTTGCATTTGCTGGAATAGAAGATCAATAAGGGAAATACTGGCAAATGAAACAATTAGTAGTTTTAGATTGTTATGCTGAAATCTATGCTCAAGAAAACGGTGATTAACAAAGGAAAAGTTTGTATAAAGAGAGGTTTACAGTTTATGTACTCTTTTCGAGCAGAAAATGTTCCCAAAAATAGTTTTTGAACATTTAAAGGCATCGTCCCAAACTGATGAGTACCGGAATTCTGCAGTGTTGCAATGGTAGAACCCCCCCCCCCCCCCCTAACTAATATATTAGTGAAGTCTGAAGCGAAAAAGCACGTCTGCGAAGTCTAAAATCCGCTCCGGAACTTCCGGTCCCCGCCCATTTACACGTGTTTCCCACTGAGTGCGGATTTCTAAAGCCTCGAGAAAGCTCATTCATTTTCGCCATTTTCAAGCGCTGAGTCCAAGTCCGGATATGGCTTCAGGATTGGCGAGAAGGCTCCGGAAAGGTGAAAAACCACAGAGCGAAATCTTATAGGGACACAACTTTTAAAGTGATTCATGGATAAAATTGATCTTGAAAAAAATTACAAGCCACTGAGAGTCACATTTTACATAAAAAAAAAGATAGATACTTACCACTGGTGCTGCCTGGAAACGAAATGTTCCTGGCATTGGTCTTCGATTGATTACATTATTTGCGGGCGAAGTGGTGGAAGGACCTGAAAAAGTGCTTTAATGATGAGATTGAAAGACTGGTAGAAGAGCAGACTAGTGTTGACATTTATAAAACATTCCCTCTTTATATCTGATTTTAAAAACAAACAAAACAGTGGGCTGCATAGAAGTGAGATTTTACACAATTCACATAGATGTGGTGACTCACAAATTTCTGGGATCGATAACAGAAGTTTAATTCAAAAACTTCAAAATGCACCTTCTACTGAAAACCGTCTCTCTTCTACACACTTCCAAATTCAAAAAGTTTGATTCAGGTTGAAAAAATTTACCTGAGATAGTCAACGTCACACCACTCCCAGATGGTCCAGAACTAAATCGCACAGGCTGGACCTAAAAGAAATTCTTGAGCTCCTGGTGAACTAATGCTAGTGCTATTAGCAAAATGCTAATGTTATTAGCAAAGATGTCGCACCTGACTAGCTACCGCTGCAGCCATATTTTTAGACCAACAATTCCAAGGCAAAACCGACAAAACGGCGGAAACGGATCCTGAAAAGAGAATTCGGCACTAGCAAAACCATCGTTCTGAATGAAATAGGTTAAACAAATGACGTGAAAACGAAGAAATGCCTGCGTTCGAAAGAAATGCGATAGCGAAGATTATCGACGTGACGAAGCACGAACAAATTCCCAGCCGCGCCGCTACCGCAACGCGGGCTAAGTGCAAGGCGCGCTGGAATCTGATAGAACGTAGCGAGAATCTCACGTGCGTGAAGGCGGGAGAAAAAGTTAGCGGAGTATCCGGGCAAGCCTGAGGGTCCTGGGATTTTAGTGCTCTGTAAAAGTGGACGCTTTCGGCCACGCCATCGGACAATTGCGAAGCCATATCGTCAGGCCAGGCGAGAGATACGCTCAAGAAATCAGGAGACACGCTCTGATGGGACTCTTCCATCTGTAGTTTCCTCCTCAGTGGTGTGAATGCCGTAACAATTATGATTATAAGGTCCTAGAGCAACTCTGCATTCAAATCTTGCCAGAACTATCTTATCTTTCCAAAAACTTATGGGGCTTCAGCAATAGCTTAAGTGATATATAGGGAACTGGGCCTAGAATTTCATACTACCAGCTCGAAAGATTTTTTCAGCCGCGAAAAAAGTGAGAAATTTAAGATCATTTTTTGTCACTTTATAATTGAGTCAATTCTTTTACTCCGGGATTAGCGTTACTATTCAGTCTATAGTCGATTCGCTGACCGCAGGGGCTGGACGTCACTGCGGAGCACGCAGAGGTGAAAAACTTGAATACAATTTCGACATTGTACAACTCGTGCTCCAGCAACATTTCAGCCGCGCCGCGCGTGAACCGCAGCATTTGAACAGTTCGTGCGATCAACGAATCGACGATACCACTTACTATACAATGAGCACCATTTATGCTTAGTACTCCCGTGTATCCTCCAGAATTATTCCCATATGAACCAACAATGTGGTTGCCTTTCAATCGTTTTAACATTAACTCCAGCATTAAAGGAACCGTCCACCCAAATTGGGGTTGGTGAGATTATGATACCTAGCAGCTGCGGGCCCCCAACTGTATGATTGCCCAACTCGCGCTGTCTAAAGTTGCTTCCGAAGCGAGAAAATTGCTTCGGAAATTTCAGGTGACGTTCGCGACGTTGGCTCCCCCCTTTCGGGTGGGCGTGACGTTCGTCCCGCCCATCCGTGCGCACCCAACCAATCACCGCATCGAAGAAATCGCTCTGGGGTTCTGAAAACGGGGGTTTTCATGATTTTCCTTATTTTCGACTTGATATTCGGAATCAGGGGTATGAGAAGGCCCTGGGACAGCAAAAACATGAAGGTTGAAATTTTGGGTGGACGGTGCCTTTAACACGTTGACGACCGAGCCATTTTTGACCACATCAAAATGGGCTGATGATCTACGGCTGCGGTTTGGATTGTTTAACAGCCGCCGCAATGCCGTGTGTTCTATAGGCCACCAGAGTTATCACTGCATAGAAGTTACCCGAGAACTTTTCGTTTACACATGATAAATTGATGCACAAATGTGCTAAAAGATGGCCCGGGCGTGCATACGCGCAGATGCACATGGTCGTCAACATGTTAAACGCAGTGTCTCACCAAAATTTAGTTGCCGAGATTTTTGCATTTTGCAAGCTTGTCGGACCCTGTCTAGCACTGTATGGGCTTAAAATCGCATGAAGTTCCCAAAAACCCCGTTTTTTGGAGGCCCCGCAGAAGCAACGGGGAGGCGTGCAAGTGTTACCCAGGCAGCCGCCTGGTGTTGCAGCCATCTTCTGTGGTTTACGCACTCTAATTAGCTTGTATCACGGCTATGAGATAAAATAAGCTTCTTCGATACATATTTTGTTTGACGCTTGGAAAATCTATGCGTTTTCATGCCGTTTTTAAACCAAGTTCCATCTTTACCGCGGAGTTAGCGCAATTTCGAGCTTCAAAACTCACCTTCTAAAGTCCTAGAATGAAGTAAGCACATAATAGGTAGATAGTTGGTCAGAAAAAAATCAGCAATTTTGAGCATTTGTTTTTGCCACGCAGGTGTCATTTCACCAAAACCACTGTTTTTACTTTTGCAATCACCCCTTTATCTGGTTTTTAGCTCCGTAGCTCAAGACTAGTTCTGCAAAAAACCCAAAAACTTTGGCACGGATACATCACCATGCAAGCAATGCAGCTGCTTCATATCTAATGTTTGCGCGAGACAGAAGCTGAGTTTTGAGGCTCGAAATTGCGCTAACTCCGCGGTAAAGATGGAACTTGGTTTAAAAACGGCATGAAAACGCATAGATTTTCCAAGCGTCAAACAAAATATGTATCGAAAGAGCTTATTTTATCTCATAGCCGTGATACAAGCTAATTAGAGTGCGTAAACCACAGAAGAACGTATGTTTTTTGAGAGCAAGCACTCCATAAGCATTTAAAGCCATCTGGAAAAAGTAGCGATCCTCTTTTTAAGCTGCACTGGGTTCAGTGTGTAGCAGATATGTCAGACTTTGTTACTGTAACTCTACAAAAAATTTGGACTCAAATGGTTGCAATCTTGAATAAAAAATGGACCTTTGTTTGAAGTGTTCGTATAATTATGAACCGTTAGAAATTCGCATTAGGAGCAAAAACACTCCTAAGATTGACATCGATTTTCGTTCTTATAGATCATATACCATTTTCGGCTGTGCTTTTCCGCGTAATACCAATGATTTTTTGAGTTTCTTTCAAAAAGTCCAAAAACTCCCAAAATTGGGGGTGTTCGTATAATTATGAACCGCACTTTTATATCGATCAACACAGCGGAAAATTTGTAGTTTATTAGTAATTTACAATACAAAAATATACAAAAACAAAAAAAGTTAAATAAATAAAAAACTGACAAATGAAAATCTTTGAGTTTCTTTGAAAAATTTTCACGAACTTGAAAAGCTCCGCCACACATTGCGTGGACGGTGTATAATTGGCCTTTTTCTATCCCGGCTTGAATCGTGATCGGATTTAATTTGTGGACGCCGTCTCCGATCAGCGCTTTTAGTCCTATTTCAATGACTGTCTTAATAAGAAGAAGATTTCTTGTTTTGTCTCCTACATCCACGACAAGTATAAAGTGCCGTGTCGGTCCTTGAAGTTTTTTTTGTGATATTCAAACGTAGCAAAGGTGAGAGCCTGGGACATCATATACAATTACAGGGTGAACCCCCTGCTCACTTATTTCGAGTTCTCCACGAAATTCACGACTTTCAGCGGCGTTAGTGCCAGCCCTGGCGGTTGGCTGCGGCACCAGGAGGCTGCCTGGGTAACACTTGCTACGCAGCCAAGCAACGTGGACGAGTTGTACCTTCCAACTTCAGCCTCAGCCACGGGGGGGTACCCAGCCATTAGGTGTATACACTAAGCCACGCCCCTTGGTTCTTCATCAGCGGGTACCTAACGATACACTTAATTTTAGCTGCCAGAACAGCCTACCTAGCTCGCTATAGCGCTGGCGCTTGCAACCCATAAGAAAGAGGTAGTTCGAGGAAATCAAAAAGAAATTGCGCATATGAAAGCGCAAGTTTGTACGCAATTTGAGAACCACAGAAATTCGGTGATGAAATTCAAAAACAGTAAAGTTTTCATGAGCACTTCACATCGTTTTGCGAGAAAAAATAAAAGGTAAACTTTGTAGAATACTAGTAAACCAATTTTTTATGATTTTAATGAAGCAAAGCGCACTTTCGGAGTTGCTTCTGGCATTTTGTTGCAGGAAATATTCCTATATCAAAAAACTGCTTCAAGAATATTTTTGACAATGACAAGTGGAACCGATTGGAAAATGAGCTTCAACGAGAACTTGTGATCCGCAGAACTTTATGGAGGTCTATGTGACCCATAATCTATGGAGGCACTAGCTCTGTTCCAATCAATGGAAATTTTTATAGAGGGATTTGAAGCCAATTTTGATGGGGTGTGTGCCAATAGAATGAAACAGGAAAAAGCAACAAACTCTACTGAGAGCATATTTGAGAAAATTTCACTTCTTAGTGAGTTACAATAAAAAATTTATAGCATTAATGGATAAATTGATCTATTCTGGCTGCTAGAGAAGAGAATGAATATGAAACAATTGCAATATTGAAGTCGCAAAAAAGCACTGCACATAGATGCACATAGACACATGATAAAATACAGTAGCTCAACGAAATTTCCATAGGATGTGAGATCTTACGAATAAAAAAATGTCTTTATCAATGTAATGTTCCATAAATCTGCTGGCCTTAGCAATGACCGAAGTAATAGCCTTGATAATCTAAGATAATGTAGTTCACAATTCTCGTGGCAATATTAACGCGCTTATAACTTCACACCCCAAAACGAGGCCGATGACAATATGTGAAAGTAATATTCCGTGCAACCTATTTGCGACATCTCCGAAAGTGCTCTTCGCTTCATTAAAATCATAAACTTTTGGTTCATTGGAATTCTAGAAAGTTTACATCTTTGAAATTTTCCTTGATATTATGGATTAGATTAGATTATCGCAATTTTTTCTTGCAAAACTATGTGAATTGCTCATATAAGCTTTACCTCATCAGAGAATTTCTGTGATTCTAAATTTATTTGAAAAAAAAGCAGCAGAAGAACGTTGCGTACAAACTTGTGCTTTCATTCCCGCAATTTTTTTTTTGATTTCCTCGAACTATCTCTTTTCTGTGGGTCGCAGGCGCCAGCGCTTTAGCGAGCTAGGTGAGCTGTTCTAGCAGAGCTAGGATTCCGTGTATCGTTAGGTACCCGCTGTTGAAGAACCAAGGGGCGTGGCTTAGTGTATACACCTAATGGCAGGGTACCTAACGCCCGCACCTCGGCTGGGTACCTAACGCCACGCACCCCTCAGCCACAGTGGCAGAACAGAGGGGAGGTGGATGCCAAGTGGAGGAACATGTTCAAACGCGTAAGGCCTAAGGCATACCTCACGCGATTTTAGTCGCCGCGCGATTTGGCACTGCAACGACTCTCCATAACTGGTCGTAAACGCACTTTGATT